ATAAAAACTGCCGAATAATAACAATTGCCGAATAATAAATTTATTTAGCAGTCTGATCATAGTCATCTACCGGATAAGTTAATACATATTAGAATGCAGTCTTTGCTTTGAAAATCACATTATAGAATATAGTAAATCACATGTCACAACACGATTTCAAGGTTAAGATCCTATATAATCTCTATTGCTAAACCTGCGCACTAAACAGTAAGGATCAACATTCATGTACTATCAAAAAATCTACACTTAATAAATTTGTGAATTTGTAAATATATAGTTTTGATTAACCAATCAAATTACATAATTTTTAAAAAATTAAACAATTAAATACTACTAGAAAACAACAAAAAAATTCATAAAGAAATTTACCAACTAACAAATACACAAACACGACAAAGAGTTAATCACATATATTTAGAGAATAGATAGGTACACATTGTTAGCGGGTAAGTGGTCAATACACACACCCACCAACAAAAAGAAAATGACGGTTGGTTATTGAGCAAAATAGGGGAGACCACAGGTAACAACACTTAGTAGAAAAGTGAGGCGGATAACAATTTGGCACAGGTCTAAGATGCCTACTAAGTATCATTATGTAAGTAATTCGGTATAATTTAAATGAACATTTTTACTTTAGTTTTATTTGAGGGCTTTTATTAATGACTTTGATTGTATATAGGGCGAATTGTACATGTACTTCAATGAATTACTAATTACTATGACCCAACAAGAGGAGTTTTGGGTCTCTTATTTATAACAAAACTACAGGCAAGAAAAAGAACAAGATCGAACATTTTCTTCTATCGATTGTTATTGAACCGTCATTAAACTAAAGCCATTTGACCCTTTTCTGGTCTAATTCCCAATCTTTACTCACAGTCATTCTCATTGAAGCTTCAATAGAATAGAAAAAGAAGGCAAGTCAAATGAAGGCTTCTACGCTGTCATCATTCTTTACCCTCATTCATTTAGTGACTCATTCATTAATTCATATGCTTTTCGTTTTCTATAGCCACATACCTTACCCGACAAGGTAATATTGCCTTGACAGCTGTCAACCGAATCAGGTAAGCGTCTTATTCTTCAATGGGATCGTTGATGGAGCTTGGCTTTTATAGGATCATCGCTTAATACTTCCATACAGAGAATCTGGTTCTAACGGGTTTGCTTTCATATGATCGTTAGGTGGAAATTATGGGTCCCAAGGGATTGCAGTGTAACAGCTTTTTGCATAATAGTTCGTATGTTCAACATGCATCATTCCACATGATTCTTGAATTCTATAAGCATGCGGTTTTGCCAGTAACAACATAAAGTTGGGGTGATCATCAAACTAGTAAAATCAAATTATAAGTAGGGTTTAATGTATTATTTATTATTGAGGATTTTTTATCAGTTATTTTAATAATTTCGGAAATTTCTAAAAATTAACTATACAGATTGTTTTTTTTATTAGTGCAATATGCCATAGTTTTTTTTAAAACAACTACTAAAGATACACTTTTTGAGCGAAGAATATAGTTTTTTTATGTCAAATTTTTTTTTAATCGATAGCTTTTATTACGCTTTTTTCAACGATAGGCTCGGTTTTACAATTTTCATTAGCTTTATATTTGTCAAATTTAGATAAGTTTATACAATTAATAAGAGAAGAAGGGGCATATTCAGCTGAATTTTTAACTTGTCGTATTCCTAATATAAATTCTATTATCTCCGTTTCTAATTGGTCTTTGCTATTGATTTCTTCAATTCCATAATTATAACTGACTGTTTGACGCCAATTTTTTAAAATTTGAACCCACTTGTCGATGGCCTTTCTAGTATTTACTG